GAGGGGGGGGGGGGGGGGGGGGCAGGAGGGTGCTGAGCCCACCCCAAGCGCTGGCCCCATTGTGGCACCTGCAGCCCCCGCACCAGGGCGCCCCAACCCCACCGTGTGCCCCAACCCCACCGTGCCCTCCCTCAAGCCCCAAAACCTCAAGCCTTGCCCCCCAAAAATGGGGAAGAAACAAAATAAAGAGACACGACACAAAGCAGGAGCAGGGAGAGCCCGAAGCCTGGGCATGGCTCCCTCCCGGGGGGGGCTGGCAGGGTGCTGGGGTGGCACCTTTGTCCCCAGGGGACCGGTGTCACAGGGAGGGTGTGGGCAGAGGAGCGGGGCTGGCTCCGGGCATTGGGGGGGCACAGGAATAAGGCTTAACCCCAGCAGGTGCTGGGAGGAGAGCTCAGCCCTGGGAAACTCATCACCGCAGTGGTTTCACGCTGCCAGCGTCCTCCCCGGGGCCGGAGCACGGGGCTGGAGTACGGGATGGTGCCCGTCCCCCAGAGCCCCGCTCCCTGGGGGACCACACCGCCACCGCAGCCAGCACCGTCCCGCACGGGCGAGACCCCCGGCGGGACCGTACTCACCGCAGGGCTGGGCGGGCGGGAGCGCGGCCTGCAGCAGGACCAGGAGCAGCCACATGCCGGAGCGGGGGCGGTGGGTGCCACGGCACGGCACGGCAGAGGCAGGCAGAGCTCAGCCGGGCCGAGCCGGGACACTGCCGGGGACGGGAAGGCGTCGCAAGAGGCGGTTTCCGCAGAGCGGAGCCAAGTCAGCAGAAACGGGAAAGGACTTTGGCTGGAGGGGAAGCGGAGGGGAGCGGGGCCACCCCCGGCCGGGGCAGAGATAAGGTGCTCCCGGTCACTCTTCTCCCGTCCTGGCACCGACCCCGAGGTCTCCCTGCCCTGCCAGACTCAAACGGCCGGCATTCGGGTCAAAATCACCCATTAAAGCTGGCCCAAAACAGGGATGAAAACCCCCCAAAATCCTGCCTCAAACGGCCAGCATTCGGGTCAAAATCACCCATTAAAGCTGGCCCAAAACAGGGATGAAAACCCCCCAAAATCCTGCCTCAAACGGCCGGCATTCGGGTCAAAATCACCCATTAAAGCTGGCCCAAAACAGGGATGAAAACCCCCCAAAATCCTGCCTCAAACGGCCAGCATTCGGGTCAAAATCACCCATTAAAGCTGGCCCAAAACAGGGATGAAAACCCCCCAAAATCCTGCCTCAAACGGCCAGCATTCGGGTCAAAATCACCCATTAAAGCCGGCCCAAAACAGGGATGAAAACCCCCCAAAATCCTGCCCCAAATGGCTGGCATTCGGGTCAAAATCACCCATTAAAGCTGGCCCAAAACAGGGATGAAAACCCCCCAAAATCCTGCCTCAAACGGCCAGCATTCGGGTCAAAATCACCCATTAAAGCTGGCCCAAAACAGGGATGAAAACCCCCCAAAATCCTGCCTCAAACGGCCAGCATTCGGGTCAAAATCACCCATTAAAGCCGGCCCAAAACAGGGATGAAAACCCCCAAAATCCTGCCCCATCCGTCCCCACCGGTGTTGAAAGAGGTAACTCTACTTCTCCCATGGAACTGCATTTTTATTGGGATTAAAAAAAACGATTAATCAGCCCAACTCAACAGAGCAGGGGCAGGAACGGGGGTGCTGAGCCCCAAAAGGAAAATCCCTGCAGCTGAGGTGATGGGGGGGTCCCAGGTCTCTGTCTGGTGGGGGATGCCTGGGCTGGGAAGGGGGTGACGGGCTGGGGGGTCCCTCCGTTCCAGGCCGGGCTGGAGGGGGCTCTGAGCAGCCCAGTCTCGCTGACGGTGTCCCCGCCCACGGCCAGGGGGGGACACGACACACTGGGTGGCATTTAAATGTCCCTTCCACCCCCAACCACGCTGTGATTCTATTTTCTACTTGGCTAAGAATTCCACTTCCAGCCCAATAAAACATTTACATGGAGCAAAGGGGCTGTGTTAGTTCTTTTACAGTTTTGTGGCTTTGCACTTTGTTTTTATTCTCCCGTACAGGGCACTGGAAACTTCTCAAAAAACTACTGCTCATACAAAAAAAAAAAATCGTGGTTTTTGCTCCACGTTCGAACCATGGAACACAAAAGCATCCACACTTCCCAGCTGCTGTTTGAGTGTCTGCTTCCGACTGAACAGAATCTTTAGCCTTTTAGAATAGGGAATGCCACCTTTTTTTAGTTTTTATTTCTGCTACGTGTGTGCCACAGTCACGTCTTAATCTGTGTTTCCATCTCCGAGGAGTCACCCCCATAAACAAGGCTCCCTCCGAGCTAAGACCCTTGTTTTGAGGAGAGCTGAACCATTCTAACCTCATCCTCTGGAACTGGAGGAAATCAACTTGTGCTGAGTCCGAGGAAGGAGGCTCCAAGCGAGGACAGGATGAAATTCCTCTCTCCAACCCACCCGAGACACCTCAGGAAGCGGCTGTGGGAGCTCAAGGATCATCTGAACGATGCTCTGAGTGGCCTGGTTTGGTTCCAGGGAGTCCTGCCGGGAGCAGGGAGCAGCACTCGCTGTCCCTTATGGATCCCTCCCAACCCCTGATTCTCCTGCCCCCACCGATCCCCTGCACACGGGGGGGGGGCGAGGAGTCCCCGACCCCCACCACCCCCCGGGCACGGCGGGGACCCTCAGCTCGGCCGGGGGGGGGGGCACCCGTGGGGGTCCCTGCGATGATGCCCGGCGGGGAGATGACAACGAACCCCGAAGGCCGGACACCCCCGAGGGGGGGGAACCTGCGTCCAGGTGGGGGAGGACGGGAACTCCCTGAGCTGAGCGTGGGGGCCCTGTCACCCGCAGGGCGAGCGTCGCGTCGCGTCCCGTCCCGTCCCGTCGGGTGACAGGCCCCCAGACCCTCCTGGCCCCACCAGGCCGCTGCCCCGCTACATCCCAGCATGCCCCGCAATATCCCAGCGTACCCCGCGCCGAAGGACCCCTCCCGCCAGGCCCCGCGGGCTGCCCGCGGCGCGCCGGACCGACCTCTATCCCGTCGCCTGCTCGCCCCGTCTCGTCGCCTGCTCGCCCTGCCCGCGCTGCCCGCCCTGTCTGCCCTGCCCGCTCTTCCCCCATGAGCGTTGCGAGGCGGCTCCGGCCCCGTCGGGCCGCGGGCCCCGGGCGCAGGCAGGCCATGGGCAGGCCGGGG